ATATATTATATATTTGTTTTCAGACATATCTTATTCTTAACAATAAGTATTAGCCACAACTCTGATCATGATAACTCCCCCCCCCCCCTCCACTCTATGTGATGCCTTTCAATTCAATTTTTTCATAAATGACATAGTACTGAAATGTGCGCCCTGGAATGTGCGTTGCTTCTACAAATGACCAGTCGACGAAAACGAGACAAACCAAAGTCTTCCAACTGATACACAAAAGCACGGTCTAGGTCAAAGAGTCACCATGTTAATGATGAAGGGGCGTGTAGAACCAAAGAATTATATCGGCCATAGCATTTGAGACTGATTTAAGATACATTTCATTCCATTTAAACTGTTTCCCTTGCGCATTTGTAATTATAGTAGACAGGCATCACATTGGAGGAGGGGGGATGAGCATTAACATAATCAGATTTTAGTAGCCATACAGTATGACGCAGGCCCGTAGCCAGGATTTGCCATTGGAGGTTCACTTCTTGAAAAATTCCATTGAATGATTTTGAAAGATTTTATTTGCCGGGGGGGGGGGTAAATCGAACCCCTCGAACCCCCCTGGATACGTGCCTGTGACGGGCCTGATATCTAGAGGGGGCTTGATAATGATCAGGGGTGCCGGTAAACAAATTCTTATTCCCCGTCGAACATGAATACAATTCTCGAAATCGTTGTTCCCTCTTCAAAAGGGGAGACGCAAAAATCTTTCCTTATAAGGTCAATATATTTCCCATGATGCAGTTCGCGGAGGAACAAATTTATACTTCCTTGTTTTCCCTCATAGGTTTAACATGGGGATTTTCACACCTATTTTTCAAACGATATATTCGTTCATATTCCCGTACGAGAGAACAGAAAAAATTATAAGAAACGATTGATCTCTTATTAATCTTAATGCCACAGCTATTTTTTCATTGTATTGCCTTCATAGCGTGGTGAAAACGATGATTGATAAGTGAGAAAATATTCCGGAAAAGAAGGTCACGTGATCAGTTGACTAGTCGCCATATTGGAAAAAACAATTCCATTCGACTTTCAATACTTTCATGCCAATCTTACCGCACTTCAAACTGCAACATCGATGCAACAACTGAATAAAAGTATTCATCTTCAAATTACATTATAGAGTTACGTTGAAAACCCACAAACAACTGAGCAGTAGACCAAAGAAGACGCGTCACTATTATCTAGGTCAATCTGTTCAGTGGTCCGAAAGCAAATCTATAGTACTCGTTTCCGAATTTTGTTGTTCATTGTACAATCTTTTATTGATTAAACTCGGTATACTGACTATTAAAGCAATGACAAAGAAGAATACTTCTGTTGGTGTCATTGTTTTATTTAGCGTGCGGGTGTAAAAACAGAATTGCGTAATTAGTTTCATTTAGAACTTTCGGGTCACGCCAATAGTCTACGCGAAATGCATAGTGGGAAAATATTGACCTATCAAATTTTGTCCTTTTTTGAGTGCTTCTTCACTGCATATTTGCGAACGTTCTGATTCAAAGAGCGAACCGCGAAAGGGAGAATTATATTTGCATGGAGATGAAGGGCTGACGCAATTTGTTGTTGTATCATATTGGCTAAATCATAAGTAAATAAGTCCAGAAATACATGGACAAAATGTAATCAGAAAGGTGGACTAATTGGTATTATTTGTTTTGATTAATGATTATACATAACTAAAACGCTATGTTAGATGTCTGTAATTCCCCCCCCCCTCTCACCAAGGGCTATGCATTGTTTCAAGTGATATAAAATCTAGATTCGTAGAACATTAATAAAACAGCCTCGTCACGCCTGGAACATACCTGTACTACGTATTTCGTACTTTCGCACATTAACAATTTATCACAAAATGTCATGTTGACTTCGATTTGACCCTTTTGACCTACCTTTTGAAAAACAATACTTTTTTGAAGCGCTAATTGAATATTAAAGGGTTGCAAAATACCAACAATATCGAAAACAGATAAGTAATGATAAATCGCCGGGGGAATTCCAAATATCCAAATCCCTCCACCATTGCGACTATGTGTTATAATGGGCTTTTAATTGAAAGTCTGTTATAAAAAGGTTGCAGACATTAGGCTCTTTAAAAGTATGTCATATTGCTATTTATATATACGAGGGGTGATCCAAAAGTCTTGGACGCCCCGCTCTAACTTTGCTATCTTTTAATATTTCTACATGAAACTTTCAGATAATAAAGATCAACATCTTAACAACTTTATGTATAAGTTTCAACAGAAAATAATATATTTTAGCTACTTTTCTACATATCTTTTAATACCGGGTCCCTGCCACCCGGAACGGTATATCAATATAGCAAATCACGTCACAACTGTTATAATATGGCAAATACTTTAGGTGCAGGTGCACAACCTAACACCAGCCATGATATCAGAGAATTTTCGATTTTCAATCTGAGTGTCATCTGCCATTATCATCTTCACATATTAAGACCCGAACTCCCATGCAGTGTCTCGGTATAGACACTGCGGCGGGCAGATTATGGAATCCCCAAAATTTGGGGAAAATAGTCCCCCTTTTTGTCACAGATGTACTTGATTTTCATACAACTTATAAAACATATGTTCTTTTATGTTCACCAATCATTATTTTGTCAAAATATTTCAAAATATGAGAAGAAATCAACGCGGAAGGAATTCTGAGTAAAAGTTTTGTTGATAAAAGTTTACCGCACGTGTTGTTTATTAGTTAATACGCGCAATTCAACCAATGAAATTGTCTAGATTTTACAATCACGCGACCTGAGCATGGGACTAGAACCAATCACGTCAGTTGTTTATTACCAAGTTACCATGCTTACGATGAGATACCTGCCCGCCGCAGTGATATATCACTGCACGGGAGTTCGATTAAGACCTACTTTTCAACATATCTTCCACGAATTTGAACACATTTTTCATAACACTTTACCAATGAATGGAAGACATTCATGAAACCGTCATTGCTTATGTGATACAAATG